GAAAGGACTGCGCGTTGACGGCTCCCATATCGCCGAAAACGGCCAAACGTGGACTCCATTCGGTGCCGGCCTTTAATGTGGAGAACGTGAACACAGAACTCCATCCCTCGTCGCTTCCGCAGTGATATTCTGGAAATACAGTGCCTGTGAGTGGACAGCACAGGAGTGGACACGATAGTTACGGTATTTGTGGCCCGCTTTCAGGTCTTTGACTCTAACCCTATGGTTAAAGAAATGCCGTTTTTCGGGTCCGCCGTCAATGAAACGATAGCTCTTTCCGAACGCTTTCATCGACAGATCTGTTTCCCCGTATTCTACGCACGGCTTTCCCGAAATGTGATGTTCGGTAACCCACGTGACCACCATTTCCGTCGGATCAGCTGAGGAGCAAATGGTCACGAATGAAGGGCTGGTGAAGAGCTAACCTCCGAGTGAGATGTGGACCTGTTGTGGTCTTTCAGTGCCGAAGACCGTCGATGAGAACCAAAGAGTTGATAATATGAACAGAAAATGTGGCTTAAAAGACATTTTCCTTTTTTTTGGTCAAAAGTTTTACGAAAATAAAGAGTTCTGTCAAAAAATATTTGAATTTTGTTGAAATTCTCGATAAGAATCAGAAATGCTTTTCGATTACAAGTTTTGAGTGTTTTTCTAGTGTTTAGACAAATAATTGATTTCCCAATCGATGAATACTTTTTGTTTTATTTCAAGATTTTCTTCTATTTTGAGACAAAAATACATTTATTTCTATTAAAAACACGATTTTTCAGAAATAAAAAACTTATTTCAGAAAAGAAATCAAAAAATGATTAGTTTTTGTATTCAAAAGACGTTTCGCTGAAATGTTTTGTTATTTTGAAACTCGTTTTTATCGCCAGAAAATTGGTGTTTAATTATTTGATTAAACGTTTGAATGGTTTAACAAATGTTCACAAAAATAGTGATAAATGAATACAAAAATCGATTTCTTTTGTCATTTCATGAGAAAATCGATACAAAAGAGAAGTAAAAG